AACTTGGCTGTTTTCATGGCTACTAAGTTGAAAATGGTGCCATCAGCTTGTCAGCATTGGTAACAAATGATTTCTCTGCATTTCAAACAGCGTGTAAAGTTTATGACTTGTGTCACTGGCTCAGATTTTGGTCATGGAAAGCATTCAAGTGCTACTGAACAAATCCTACTGAACTGAATTAGCACACTGCTGACTTCTTGCAAACTTTTAGGATATCAGCATTACAAAGATCTATAAGCACACTGACAAGTCCACTACATTGCACAGCCCCAACAGGAACCTGGGTAGGAAAACCATCAAACAAGCTCTGAAGCCACCTGAACCATCTTCATGCACAAACACATCAGGGGTGTCCCTCCTTCCTGAGGGTGACGCCCACAATGACAGGAAACACCTGGTACATCACGCACTGTTAAGCATGTCATGTTGAACAAAGGGGTCCGTCCATGCACCACCAAATTTACCACGCACTTGAAATGGCGCGACAGGGCTTCTCCTACGCTTCTACAGGAGAAAAGTGAGTCACATCCCATTCAGCACTGAATGTCTCCACCGCCACAGCTTTCAGCTCTACCTTTCAGTCACCCACTAAAAGCTTGCTTTCTCTAAACGACAAAAAATAATAACTGCAATTATTTTAAGCGGCACAGTGATTGCGATAATTAATTGTGATTAGCAGTGATTGGAGCATTTTTTTGTTTTAGGGTTCAGTGCGCTCCTCAGAAGCTGCGTGAACACCTGCGATTTTGTTTTAGTGCTCGGCGGTCGAAATACGTCAGCCCATTCTTTGCGGTTACAGTGAAACTTGTGCGCGATTTGTTAGCGCTACGCTCACACTGCAACTGACCTAATGTCATACCATCTGTAATTTTGTGAGACATGACGTTTCTTCAATACTAATAACAAAATAAAAAATTACTCAAGCGAAGCTGACAATCAAATGTCATGTCTGTTACCTAGCAACTGACCATACACAGCTGAAATGTAAACAGGTCATCATCAAGTTCGTTAGAAAGACAGCTAACTTCAGCTACCGTTACTGATTAAACAAAACTAAAGCACGTTAAACTCAAAGTTAAGAATATTGTGACAGTTTAGCAGAGCGTCACCGCTCCACAGTTTCACCACCATCACTGTAATATTTTATCTGATTTTCACCAACATTAACACACAAAGGTAAAAAGAGGGGATGGTGGAGTGTCTGCAGTGTCTGAGATTTAAGGAAAAAAACATGTGGTTACCAAAAACACTGACAAGTCAAAGTACCGTTTTCAGTGTAAATAAATGTACTTCATTATGCTGGTTTTAAAGAACTGTTACCTGTCACTGCATAAAACGATAGAACCAAACGGTTAAAACAGAATTAAGACACCTCTGGGATTGTCTTAAAGTTAGGATAGAATTTAAGAAAAAGTTCTGTCTAGGTACGATGTTTTAGTAAAACTGTTTTTCTATCTGGAGTCTGGATAAGACCCTGCATTTTCTAATGGCATCAGTACGATATCAATACCAAGTACAGGATCAGTGCCATTTCAAAACAGAAACGCTGTAGCGTTTTGCAATTAAATCAACAGAGCAAAAGAGTGATATCAATATATTTTCTATTTATATTTTATACAATCAACAATGTCCTTTTCCCGAACTGTCATATCGCGGTTGTTGGAAGAAAACCTTGTATCTCCAAAATGGTAACTTTACAGGAGAAGGCAAAAACCTACTTTACTTTTAATGTAAGTCAATGGAACCAGATTTTTTTCCAAGCCATTTTGGGTCATTTCTTTTAGCCAATTCATCATGAAATTTTCATATATTATAAAGAACAACATGTATTTTCAAATTATGTCAAAAACTGACAAACATCAAAAATGGAGATACAAGGTTTTCTTCCGACAACAGCGATATACTGTGTCATATTGGAGGAAGCCAACATTTCAATCGTGCAAGACAGGTTTATTTAGAAAACAGAGTGGAGAGCATACAAGTTTATCTTTGAAGCCATGATAACATGGAGAAGACAAAAATGATTATTGTGTTTGCATCTGCAGTGCTTTCCACTCTCCACAGTAACAAAAATCCAACCATCATACACTATACAGACTACCTCTGTTATATTTTGAACACTGTGAGCTAAAGCTCTGAACTTGAAATCCATAAATATGTGAATCTGATCATCATTCTAGTTTATGAACATTAAACAAATGTCATAAAAATTATGCAAAAGAAATCCGCTGTATTATCATTCAGCCCACACAACTGTGTGGCTTCCAGTCATGCAGAGTTAAATAGCGATCTGTACGTTTTTTTTTATTTTATTGATTAGCATGATATGAAAGGAAACGTCATAAACGTGAAAGTCAAATGTCATGTTAAAGATAACACACAACATATTTAAGGTCAATTAAGATTAGCCAGGTTAAAAGTCACATGCAGGTGAGTGATCTCTGTCCTTTTGAAACCTCTAACTTCACAATACCTTGTTGTGGTGCTTTTTCTGTGCTCCATCACTGTGGTTATGCAAATTTAGCTCACATCACTCTCCAATCATAACAAATAAATGATGAACATTAGTCAGGAAGTTTTCAAGTAAAAGTATGAAATAAGTAAAATGTCCAGAATGATGTCATCAGTTTCTACTCCTCAGACACTCAATTGAAGTGAATAACAGAATTATCATTCAAGCTGAGATGAGCACTGAACAATCTTTTTGGGGGAAACCCCCTCCCCCCCCTTGTGCTTTCGCTTCTATTGAAAATTAACCTTATCGCACATCATCTCTCAACTGGGAGGGGTTTTTCCAACGTATGCCAGACACTCTTAGGAGGACAGACCCACCTGTCCACCAAAAGTACACTGACTCAGTCCAGCAGAGGTGGATGGGAAATAGTTAGACTTAGCACGTTGCATACGTAAGAAGCATTAAGACGGATCTGATACTTTTCAAATAGAGCTCATTTATGTCCAACAACCAAACCTAGTAATCTATGGAACAATGCCACAGAACTTGTTCTGATTGGTCTAAAGTGATGCACATCTAACAATGCAAACTAGATTTTTTTGTTGATTACATTCAACTTTCATTCTTTAAATTCACAAAACACATAGTCCCATGAGAGCAAAAGACTAGATATGATATCATAAATTACATGAACTCACTTTTTAGCCTTAGAAAAACAGATCTGCTTGAAAAGTTTCTTTAAATGTGTGTTCTGGAAGGTTCAGAGAAGATATGAACCAGAGAACACTTAAAATTTAGATACAGGCATTAACACATATTGACATGCTAATGCTATGCCTAAATATAAATGTAAAACAAAAGAAAAAAATCTTTTTTTTTTTTATTAATTACATTCCAGTTCTTCACATTGAGTACAGTTGGTTGAGCTCCTCAATGGCTTGGCTGTTGCTCATAGCTCTCACTTCGGAGCTTTAGCTTCTTATTTTAGACTACAACAATCTAAACTGAGAAGAATAGAGCCTAACTAACTTCAGGACTACTAACAGATACAGAATGTACTACGAAGTTCCACTGGAGTTCTACAATGGAGAGGTATTGAACCTTTCTTACTCATGTTGGTCCTAGCTGGAGAAAATCATACTTTTACTAGAGAGAATAGTTTCAGGCTCTTCTACCCACCTCTCTTGGTAAGAGACATGTGCTAAAACACAAAGTTGTAATCTTACTTCAACCAGCTTTGTTTTAGCGATGTTTACAGCAAAGAAACTTGGGAACATCCAGAAGCTTTGACGCTCCTCAGTACATACCTACAAGTGCATACCTAGGAAAGACCTATATTTAGATACAAGTATAACTACTTATAGAACACTTCCAGTTTTAGAACACATAATGGGCTAGTTCACCTACTATGGACAGTTTTAATCAGAATATTCAGTTTGCAAGCAGAAGGATGATATTTCCGCCACAAGTAAAACCAGATGTTAGAGCTCTGTTCATAATACTAATAACAAATGAATAAACAAAATTTCAAGAGTGTTCATGCTTTTGTGCAATAAATATATTTTCTCTAAAACAGAGTCACTTGTAGTAAAACACTTGTCTGCTTGACCCCATCAAAGAGGGCTTGAGCTCCTTTTCCCGAAGGACATGGGTTTACTTCCTATGTTCATCCATAGAGATACAGCAGTGTACTCAAAACATACTGGTAACGATGGGCTTATTTAATTGGCCACACTTAATATTACAAAATATAAATAAAGAAGAGATTAATAACATCCAGTGTTACACATTATTACAGGCTAATCAATACTCGCCAAAAGGAATATAGGAAGGTTTCTCATCTCTAAAAGCTGCTTTTCTGCACTTTTGACCCAAAAACATAGATAACCATCAATATTTTTGGCTCTACATACTTTAAAAAGATGGTTCTCCAAGGGTTCTTTAGTAAAGGCAATAGTTTAGAACAGTAAGTTCTATACAGAACCATTTCATGTTTAAATGGTTCTTTGCATGGTGAAATGGTCCTTTAGATTGATAGTGAATGTGTTGCATATGGTTCTGTGTGTAACCTTCTTGAAAATGGTTCTATATAGCACCAAAAAGGGTTCTGCTACTGTTACAAGCTTGACATCAAAAAGGTCCTATTTAGAACCATATGCAACGCATTCTCCATCAATCTGAAGAACTATTTCATCATGGAAAGAATCATTTAAGCATGCAAATGGTTCTATACAGAAGTCAAGGTTCTAAATAGAAACACAGCCTTTACTAAAGAAGTGTTGAAGAACCATCTAATAAGCCACTGCATTTACTAAAGAACCCTTGAAGAACCATTTTTATGAGTGGAACGTTACTACAGCGTTAGGTTAAAACACTCATGGAAATGTTTTAGAGGGCTTTACTAACTTACACAGCAACAAGCCAAGTTTGTTTAACCCTAGCTAGCTAACGTTAACCTACCGAAGTTCTCAGAAAGCGAAGTTGGAGAAGTTTGCTAACTCAGTAAGCACCCTTTCAAAAGCATACGTGTTTTAAGCAAACTAACCTGTAGTTCCGATTTCCATTCATGGGGGTCTCTGTCCGGTTCCGTCTGTCCCGGCTCCTAGTTGATGAACTCGGCTAAGAAAACTCCGGAGGTCCGGACCGAAGCAGGTCGCTGCTCGGCCACCGAAGCCAAGTGTGACAGGTCAGGCAAGTTGTGTGCCTCCTCTTGGACGGTGGATGGACTCCTGCCCCTTCTGGACGGGGGCCCGAGGTGTAAATCCTAATATTTTTGGAGAACACTCCGATATCCACACGTTCCGACTGACCGTAACGTTATATTTACGAACGTCGAGCTAACTTAGCCCAACTAGCGTGCTAAGAAGAAGTTAAGCTGACGTGCGAGATTCAGAGTCCGGAATAACGATTAGCTGGAAGATTAGACATTCAGCAAACATTTCCTGACGAGCCTATGGCGCATATATGCTCGTTATTTTAAAGAAAGGAGTAAAAGCTGTCGGCTTCTCTCGTCTCGTCGACGGAGCTGAGCTGAGCTAACGTTAGCTGGTTGCCATGCTAACTAGCTCGCTAGCCAAAATTCCCATCTGAAAAAGCGACGGTTTCTTCGTCAAGTCTGCTTGACTGTCTCCAAAAAGTTGACGGTTTTATTGCTCAGACTGTGCTTTTTCTCAGCGTCTGGATTCTCCGCGGCCCTGTCAGGGTGCTAAGTTATTAAAACGTCGACTCCCACTTTTGTGTTTTGTCGTTTTTTTCGCTCCAGCCCGGTTTGTCAGCGATCCACCGCGACCAAAGAGCTAAATATGGGGAGCCCGAGCCTCCGTGACGACGACATGGGAACCTCTCAGACGATCGCCGATTGGTCGTGGAAAAAAAAATATACGCGTTCTCATTGGTGGGTACGCAGAAGAAGAGAAGGCTGATTGGTGCATTGAGAACGAGAGGTTAAGGAGGAGGGGTTTGTGCCAAATGAAGAGAAGCAGACGTCAGAGTGTAATAAGTTAGTACTTTTTGTCAGTTTTCACATCATTCAAAACTGAAGTATAACGTATGTTTTTATTACAAAGAGCGATTATATATAGCCATAATTATGTATGACTATATATAAAAATGACACAATGTATAATTACAGGGAGTCCACACCTCCAGACCCTGTTAGGAATACATAAAACAGTTTGTGTGTGTGTGAGAGCGAGTTTATATAAGATCAGGACTCTTTAAACACCACTTTTGTTTTAAATATTGTACTTTTATAACGTTAATTGCTCTAATAAACTGAAAATGGAAACATTACCATCTTAATGTAGGCCACGTTTTCAGCCACTCCTTATTTTACCTATATCAGAGAATGTACTATATCTTATTGAATTCTAAATTCTGAGTCATTACACCCTTGACATACAAATTATCATTAATATGTTTTATAAATATTCCTTCAATCTCAAACTGAAAGTACACAATCAAATCTAACCTAGGAACTGTATCTAACACTTTATTTGTGTTTAATAGCTAAAAGCTAGAGATGAATCAAATTTTAAAAGATGCATACCTGTTTGATGACAGTGACATAAAAATGGACACATTATAAAACATATTTAGTAAAAAAAACAACTTTTATTTTCTTTTAAAAAATAACCCTCCCCCAACACATTCCCCACACTATTACATACAGAGCCAAAATAACTTGTTTGTGTGTCCTTCCAATCAATCTATTGGGAAGTGCTATGATAAGGACCGTTCTTTTTCAGTGGCTTTATATTGCTTTTACAGTGAGGCTGAGTGAAGTTAATTCTCCAGTTCTCTCTCTTTTGCGCCTTTTTTGTGTTGATCTCCCCACTAGGCGACCGTGGCTTCTGAGAATTAAGTACTGCATCATAACATTTATTCCCGGATTCATCAGATCGATCTGACGCAGACCCAATTATATAGGCCTAACAATAAAAGGCCATTACATAAGGTATAAATACATTGTTTTTGATGTTGGTTTGGAAAAACGTAATAGGAACATAGTTCTTATTATGCATTTCATAAAAGTGACTCAAAAGTAAAGTGTGATTAACCGTTACACCTCAAGATCCCTTTGAATTTGGGCTCAGGGGCCATTTGCACGTCAGATATCTCTTACTTTTTTTCTTTTAAAGGGGCTTTGAGGCTGAATTGAAGACGCCCTCCCACAGTACCCCCTTCAGGACAAAATTAGCCACTACACGCAGCTGTAAGAGGGACGAGAAGTGCAGTTTACAACCAATAAAGAAATGTATGGCATCAAATGACAGGCAGATATGGATAAGCGCACATTCGTCAGGAGGAGCGTAACATGGTTACTAAGAGGATCCAGTCACAACACAAGTTTGATTAAAACATGCATTTCATTAAATCCACAGCAATGACATGGCTAGGTGACAAAGTGTCCTCTAAACGGAGTAAAAAACAAATAAAAGGTCCATTTCTTCGATGCCTGTGAACGCAGTACACGTCCGGCAGACGCGTGAAACGTCAGGCCAGAGATGAAGACGCGAGGAGGCAGATGTGCGCGCGTAATGTGTCCATCATGGGCGCTACAGGGGAGGATGTGGGCGGGGCCTTGTCAAGGATGACACCGAGTTTGTATGGGAGGGAAGTGGGCTGTGGTTGATCCCACAGCAAAGTGGAGCTTCCACACATCTACGTAGGAGAAAGTGGTGGGTAGCTACATAGAAAAAACTGTGTTCGTGTGCGACAACAAAGAGAGTGAGGCAAGGAGGGAGTTAGTGTAGAAAAGCATGTATGTCATGTCCTTCTGTAAGTGTGGAATGTGCAGTATAAGTAGAGCATAGTCAGAAACTGTTTGAATAAGAAGAAAAAAATGCTGCTTCTTTGTTCGTTTTTGTATTGAACAATGACCTATTGCTTCATGTACAGTCTGTGGAAGCAGCCCATTTGTAGATACCGGATGGCCCTTGTGCACCAAAAGATAAGATATATTTCAGAGTGCGTGTGTGTGTGTTAGAGGTCTGCACGGCTATGAATATGAATTTGACTTTGATGAGCCCATCTCCGACCCGAACCGTGACTTTGAGACCAGATCCAAACAGGCCCGACTACGGCTAAATCTGAAACTCAAACCCGACCCGAACTGCTACCTTGAGACCAGACCCGAACAGGCCTGGCTACTGCTAAATCTGTTACTCAAACCCGACCCAGACCCACGACTTTCAGACTGACCTGAGTAGGCCCGACTACTGATACATTTGAAACCTAAAACCACGACATTGGGCCTGTTTGGGTCAAGTCTCAATCACTGCTAAATTTAAAACCCAAACCAGCAACTTTGACACTCAATGTGAACAGGCTACTGGTAAATCTGAAACCGAACCTCCGACTTTGAGACCCAACCTAAACAAGGCTGACTAGAACCAAATCCCAACCTGAACGCTCACAATATTGAGATGGATTACCGCAGATACGGTTTTACAGAGCTTTTCTTTGTTACTGAGAGCTTGAGTGGATTGAAAAACTGGTATTGTACACAGCTGTAATACGATAAGGGGGGATTCACACTGCATTTTTCCTGAAGGTGGAAAACTGTACAGTCCTTTTTTCTTTAGAGTTCACACCACTTTTTTTGAACGCTGCTTCTAGATGCATACCTCCCTGTTGCTAAGCTACACTAGCATTGTAACTGTCAATCAGCTGTGCTAGCTTGATATGTACAGGCTGAAAGTTGTTACCTTTTAAAAAGTGATCTATTAACTTGAAAGTGTGCTGCTGCTAGTCGTAAAAACAAGCTACATTTTAAAAAAGTTACTTTTAATTTATGTTGTGCTAAATTTGATCTGTGAAATCATACAGTTCAAGGTACTCAGCAACTGTAACCTTCACTAAAGGCCTGCCTTCCTTTACATCTGATTGGTCAGAACAGAAAAATCACCCATGACAGTTTGCAAAAAAATGCATCCAGTTGGAACCCCCCCTTAAGAGTATTTATCAGTGCATCTTTGTGGAACTGCTGATAAAACTTGGCAGGAAACAGCATTCGCCCTCCTCTAAACAACTGTTAACATTAGCCAGCCCACCTGAGCTAAAGTTCCTCTTGCTACTGCTGCTACTGTAGAAATACTTAACACAGGGTGAACAATCAAGAGGAAAGATCCTTTGAAATTCCACCAACCTGACACCTCCCCCTCATAATCCAAGTTTTTTTTTTTTTAAGAAAGATTTACACCCGCACTTTCACTCTGGCAGTTTCAGGCCAGCGGAACGCATGCGCAGTAGGACAGCGTGATTGTGCCATGTAAACAAAGTCCTTGTGGGGAAAATTGAGCGTTACCAGTTTTCCCATTCACATTCAACCAGTGGCCGGTCTCCTCATTTATGACGTCTCTGATATAAGCAGCAACTGTTTGTGCTGGTTGTATGTGTCGCCATGCATATTATTATTCAGGAAAAGATACCGCTGCCAATATACGAATTAACCATTGGTAACTGGTTAAACCACAAACCAAAATGCATTACAAAACCGTCTGAAACAAACAGAAACACTTAATAGTTTTTTGGGGGTTTTTCAGCAGGGATACATTCAAAAACTGAAGTTTGTTTTAGCCTGAAGCTTAATTTTATACTCAGTTTAAACCTGCTTAAGGTAAAGTTGTATTCCTGCACATGTAAGTGTACACGCAAAGCCCCTGTATTAAGGGTAAGTTAACTGAGCTACATGTCTACATAACCCATGAGTTTACCAAATCTAAATCAGCTGTAGTTTGTGTACTATTTACCCCATGAATCTCTATATGCTTTTAAACCAGTTTGTTTTAGACTAAAGCTTGAAATATAACGTTAGCCCAACGCAAATTTATCACAAATTTACTGGAAACCCACATAAAATGTTGATTAGCCTAAGACTCGCTAAGAAAAAACAAAAGTTTCAGCGCATGTGATGAATGCCACTGGCTTAAACGTGCTGGAGTGAAACTGCTGGCGTGAAACTGTGGCTCTGCGGCTCTGCAGACAGATATTATTGTTTTGTTCAGGGCATGTTTACGCACCCTTTAAAATCCAAAGCTATTCCTGACACAGCTATGTTACGAGAGAGAAAGAAAATCTGTAAGACTGCGCAAAATTTAGGGTAAAAACAAATCTACAACCTAAAAAATAACTCAGAATGACATTGTACTTGAAAAATTGTCCCGAATCCTGATCTTTTACCTGGCCCTGTCGCGCTCGGGTCGGATAGCAGACCTCCAGTGTGTGAATGTGTGCGTGTCATAAGAAGTCTCCATCATCTAAACCTGGCAAGATCCGTGACGAGAGCAGGCATGGTGTCCATTTTCCTATCAAGTAGACCAATCAAGTGCTGGAATGCCACATGGTCATTTTTCCTGACAAAATGAAAGCATATAGACAGATGCACATTGTAAAAAGATAAGTGCCTCTTTGAACTTGAACGGTTGGCATCACATTTGGCTGGTTTATAATGCTGGTTTCGGTGTGCAGATAAAAGATTAAGTAACTTAATATGTATCGTAAATGCACTCAACAGTCCATCTATCGTTATGCTAACTCTGCCACTGTGTGACTACGGAGGCATGTCTAAAATACGATTGGCTACACTTGTGACCGCACCGAAGGATACGTTTCCCAGCATTCATGGCACGCTGGGGTTCATCTCGGACCGCTTTGCATGCGCGCTTGGGCTGCAGGATTCGGTACGGAGATGTAGACGAAGACGCCGGGCTCACTGTGTCTACAAGCTAACTCTAAGTGCTAATGTAGCTTTCATTCTTCAAGGCTGTTTAAAAAACAAAACAAAACAAAACAAAACAAAAAAAAACAACAAATATGAAAACAATAAAAAATAGTGTACTTCAAAAAGAGCAAGAATTAAAATAACACAAGGGTGTCCACTTTCGGTTTTCTTCGCCCAGACTAGGGGTTCAAGGGCCTGGGTGCTGGACACTGGAGAGCAGCCTGCCGGACAGGCCTAAAAAGAGGCAGCGTCGTGGTGGCAGTCAAATCTTCGGATTTTCCTCCCCTCCATATTGCATACGAACATACATACGTACGGGAACGTGAAGGTAGTATACAACAACACACTTAAAAACAAAAAAGGGACAAAAACAAACCAACTGAAAAGGAGCCCTGCCATGTTTAAAAAAATGTGGTGAGGTCAGGATGCTCCACATTAATTCAGTACTGCTCAGGTGTGTGGGATTTGTAGTTTTTTTGTAGTTCCGGTGGTGCTGTGTGTACTGGCTCGAGCGCAGGGAGGTCAGGAGTGTCTTGAGGCCACTGTAGGGCCCTGCAGCGCCCCTCACGCAGGCCGTCAGGGGGTGTAGTGAAGATCCATCAGGCGAAGTACATGGTCCTCAGGGTGTCGTGGTGAATCTGCACAGCTTTGGCCAGAGCCTGGGGGTCCCGACCGTTACTCTGACCAGAAACATGACTGCCCTCCCCACTACAGAGAGAGAATGGGAAAAGGGAATAAGGAAAAAAAATCTTAATCCATCTTAAGGTATGTGATACAGCATCACATAACAAGCACCACACAGAATATACTGAATATGCTTGTCTGACAATCAACAGTTAAATGGCTTTGGCTCATTGGTCTCAGTATCTAGCAAACACTAGACATTTAGAGTGGAACAATTTCAATATCCAAGTATCCAAGTATCAAGTATCCAAAAACAATAATAACATTTGATATTTAAATTTAAAATGATTAGACCTGGTGGTTATATGGACACACTGGGCTAAGTGAGTTTTTCCTGAAGCCTCCAAATTATTGGGGTTGTAATGGGGCATATTTTGTTAAAGGGGAATTTCACAGATTTTTCAACATCTCACTATAATTCAGTTGTTAAGATGTAAACAAAGCCATTCAGAGTGGTTTGGTGTAAAATTGTCTGTTCTAGAGAAATGTACAGAGCCAGAATTGTTCACAGTGGTGGTGATAGGAACCAGATGTCTGAAGAGTTTAATGCCTTTAAAAGCTCCCTCACAAAGTTATTATATGAACTAGTTATGAATACGCTGCTTGTGGTCTGAGACACTGTTTTATGAGACTTTTGAAGGTTTTGCTCTAAAACAAGTCATTCATGGTGGAGGAGTACATGTAGGGCATTCTAAGTCAAAACAGCCCCCAAAGAAAATTTATTTTCCTGGATTTCCCCACTGTTTTATAATCATCAACATTACATATATAAACTCAGAAGACACGTGTAGGTTCACTGTTCATTAAATAAAATGGCTCTATTTTCGACCCCTGGTTCCTATCACCACCACTGCAAAGGAATTTTAATACGTTTTTCTACAATAAACCATTTCTCATCAAAGCACTCTGAAAGACTTTGTTTAGATCTCATCTCAAATAATGAACTGTACAGTAAGGGCTGCAGTGGCAACCAATTTAAATGTTAATCCGAGAATCAAAAATAGTCTCCAATCTGTAAATATGAGTTGTTTCTTCCATAAAGTTCACTGTATAAGGTCTTAAGAGCTGGCTTCGGCTTCCTTCTGTGAACAAGACCTCACTCACCTGTCGTGCTCTTTGTCCACCAAGTGGTAGCGGGCACGGAAGGCCACTAACCGAGCGTAGTAGGCGGGTGCTGGGATGGACACGGAGCGTGTGCAGCGAACATACGTGTGGCACAGCTGGTAGGTGAGAATTTGGAGCTCGTCTGCAGTAAAGCGATTGTCATCCCACAGCACGTAGTAATGAGAGGGTCGGCTGGTGCCCTAAAACACAGGAAAACATTTTCAGAATACTAATTCCTAAGAAGAGTGAGCAAAAGTACTTCAAAGTGTGTGTAGGAGGCAGGGGAACAAAAACAAACAGCAGGACCCACCTGAATACCTGCATGACTGCACAGGTAGAAATCAAACTCAAAGGGGTGTGTGATGCTGGTGTCAACAGTGGTTCCTGCTGGAATGTTGCCACTTTTCCCGATCTGGTGAAATAAGGGCAAAAATGTGTTAAAATCTATAAATATTATGAAATATTTTTATAGTATTTTTATGAAACTAATATATATATATATATATATATATATATATATATATATATATATATATATATATATATATACACATACACATACACACACACATACATACATACATAATTTTACATGTTACCATCAGAACAAAGAAAATGCCAAAAATGGTAAAAATCTACAAAATGGCAACTTTACAGGAGTTATTCCAATTAAATCAGGACCATTTTTATCGGCCCACTTAGCGCATGTTTATGTAAACCCTTTGAGTCAAATGGCCATTAACTACAAATTATTCATTTAAAAAAAGGAGAAAACACATACAACGCTTGAACTACTTAATATCTGTATTTTCAGTAATTATAATTAAACAGTTTCAGTGTTTAAGTGTGTCCACTCTTTCCCTTTGTTACAGCTTCCATTCTTTTCAGGAGACTCATTTTCAGTTTTTCAAAGAAATCTGCAGACACACCTCCAAAGTTCAGTCTTAGAAGTTGGTTGATCATTTTCTGAAGTAATTCAAACACATTCAGAGATGTTGAGATCTGGACTCTGGGGTGGTCAGTCCATTGTTCAGCTTCTTTGCTTTAAGTGTCTGTCTCCTTTTCTCAGTGTGGCTTCTTGACAGCTTCACATCCTTTTAGACCTATAGCGCCGAGTTGTCCTCTCACAGTGGAAGGATGGCAGTGGATTTTCTCAGATCTGAAGTAGCTTGATTTTCTCCTCTCTCTCAAATATGAATGCTTTAAGTACTGTTTATCTGATGGAGGCAGTTTTGGTGGTCTACCTTGCAGGTGGTTGTTAGGAGTCTCAACTTCTCTGTAGCTTTTAATCATTTTTTTTAACTCCAGTTTTGGAAACTCCACTTAATTTTCTTTGATTTTCCCCTCCTAATGCAAGTGGATTATCTTATATTTAATTAGAAATATCTCCTGAAAAATGAATAGCTTGCACTTAAAGCCTGTTTTGACTAGAATAAATGAGGGGTGGTCTCTGACTTTTGCACAGCACTGTATATACACATTATAAGCACAAGTACTGTTTCTAAACTGCTTTTGAAAAGCATATGACACATGTTTTACTCTTACAGCTTCTAACTCTATGCCTGTGAGTTCGTCTGTGTTTAATCTGTGTCTAATCATTCTTTTCATTGCTTTGAGGCTTCAGCCAGACCCCTCTCAGCAGTGAGTCATTCCACGCTGTTCCAGGAAACTCACCCTCTCGGACTTGTCGGCGCAGAAGAGGCGGGTGTGGTGGCGTTTCTGCACCACGATGTAGGTGATGCCGGGCTGGTAGTCCTTCTCCAACTTAATGCAGGCGTCCCTGATGGCCAGCAGCTCGTAGTGCAGGATCTGCATTTAGAGGAAGGACAGAAAACAGGCATGAGTCATCGCTGACAAAATCATCCTCAGGGATCTGATTCGCTCATCATTTTTAAAAACACTTTCAGGAAAAACAGAATGAAATTCTGTTCAAATTTCAAACAAAAACAACACCCTGATGGTGCAAATAGCGAAGCTAATGGGGCGTAAATAAGACAAAATCAAGCTAATTGAGCCTCGCCAATTTAATTTCCTGCTTTTTTCCTAACATTTTTTTAAGGTTTTTTGTGAATGTCTAAATTCCACATTGATGCTGATTTCCGATATTCTTCACGTACATATCTGTCAATGCATGTACTAATGCAGACATACATGCATCATACAACTTGGGACTAAATCTACCTCAATTTGTATTACCGAAAAATACACCTATATATCAATATAGTTAATAATATAATAATATAGTTTATATATATATATATATATATATATATATATATATATATATATATATATATATATATAGTTAGTATTCGCATTTTTGCATGTTTGAAATCTGAAAAATTACACTGTGTGGAAATTTCATGATGAATGGAAAAATAAAAATGCTCCAAAACTGTATTTGGGGAAAAAAGTAATTGCACTGACTTAAAGTAAAAAGTAACCAATGTTTTTTTTTTTCTTAACATTTTAAAGATCCAAGGTTTTGGTCCAGCAACAGTGGTTTGCAAATGACCTCTGTTTTGATTGGCTGCCCTGAACTGTGCATTATTCAAAAAGCAGTCCAGGCTGAAATATTCCCAATTTCAGTGTAAGTGGGCGGAGCTAAATTACTGTACATAGATATATGTAAACAGCGCAGGCTTTTGTGACATCACAAATAAACAATACATTCAAAACAGACTGCTTTTGCAGCTTAGTTTCTATATATGAACTGTTTACATGCTACATCAAACAAGCTTGACATCATAACTACAGAACACTTTTTGGTACTATATAGAGCCATTTTTAAAAAGGTTTTCTATAGAACCATATACAACACAGTCTCCATCAATCTCATCAAACCATTTCACCATGCAAAGAATCATTTAAGCAAGAAATGGTTCATGGTTCGAAACAGAACCACTGCCTTTACTAAAGAACCTTTTTGAGTGTGTACTCTAGGATGATAGCTGCACCCATATCCATGTCTATAATTACTGTGATTGCAATAAACAGCAATCAGAACATTTGCATAGTCAAAAGCACCTACACTCCACATTTGTTCAGGTTGTGTGGATGTTACACACAGTAAGACGATCCTGCACACTACTGGATAAAATTCACTAACAGCTGCACTGTGTGATTCACTCAATGCGGAGGGCAACAATTCTGATGAATCACGATGAATGTACAATTCGCTTAAAGTGACAGATACTGAAACCAACCAAATGAGCTGACCTGTGGTAGCTGGCCTTCTGGAACGCCGTCCCTGTAGAAGATGATTCTGGTGGGCTTGAAGCGGGTGGACTTGTAGAACTGGATGAGGAGTTCTCGCACCATGTATGAAAGGTCTTCGATGATTTCCTGTCGGGGCCTCTGGACCCGCACCGTGGCACAGTACCGACTGGGGTGGGCATCCATACTGCCCACCACCTAGAGAGAAGGCAAGAGGGTGATCGGTTAGAGAAATACAGTACTGGGTAAAAGAATGACCAGCCTCCATTTATTTAATGTCCATTTAATGCAAGTTGAATGTTTTTGAACAGCATAGAAATAAGATAGTCCACTTGCGTAAAGAAAAAGAAAAACAAAAATATATATTTAAAATATATTAAGGAAATGAAAAAAATAGACAAGAAAGGAAGAAAACTGGCCAGTCAAACAAAAAAGCTGCTGGTGTTCTCAGAACAATGGACTGAATGTGTTAAATGTATGTGTGAAATTATTTGGATCACGAGAAGCACAAATTGCAACCAACTTCTAAGACTGAACTTTAGATTTATGGCTGCAAAGTGAGGCTCCTGCAAAGAATGGAAGCTGTAATGAAGGTAAAGAGTGGACACAGTGAATACAGAAAAAGTATTATATTTATTTGTTAAGGCTTCTGTGTAATTTACTGCTGAACAATTAGTAACTAAATGACCATTTTGGCTGGAGATTAACTAAAAGATGGGTGGTCTTTTGCACAGTATTGTAGATTGCTGAAAAAACTACACAATTTCCTTGATGAGGCACACCCAAAGTTTTCCACCTTTCCCAAGTTTACTTCACTACTTTTACTACTTTTCACCGGAGCGTTGAGGCTGATCTGGCTACACAATTTAATCTTATACCCCACTGATTAGCATCACGCCCATAGCATGCCTAAATCATCACACTTCCCTCGAATCATGTGGAGCTGTTCAGTAATCAAACACAGACTTCACAATGTGGTTTCTGACAGTGAATGACACACAGTTATCTTTAAACAAGGAAAAAGGCATGTTGCATAGTTAAAGGGGAATTACTCTGATTCTACAAAATTTCTGCATAATCAAACTGTTAAAATGTAAACAAAGCCTTTCAGAATGATTTAAATGCGAAATGCTCCATTCTGGTAAAACTTGGTAGAAACAGAGTCAGAGCTGTTCACAGTAAGGGCTGTGTGTGTCACAGTGGTGACACACAAAATGGCTAAGAACACACTGCCTGATGACTGGAATTAGGGTCAGGAGGTGAGCCAAGAATAAGAAATAATGTTTTTTTTTTTCCTTTCGTTATGATAAATGCGTTTGAAAATTATGACAAATTTCTGTTACACATCTGTCAACTAACCAGCCAAATACACACATTTTACTCATTTACATTTCACCTTGATGAACCAGTCTGCGCGATTTGCCTGAAAACAGTCATACAGCCAGAAATGCAAACAGCTCTCAATACAAACCGATAGATGTTTTTGCTAACAAAATTACCACCCAAGAAAAACCTATACCTCAGAAATATCTGGAGACAAGTCTGAAGGTATGATTTTTTTTTTTTTCATATGGGTTTTATGGCAGATTTTGATTTTTTTTTAAATATATAGGCCTAACTTAGGGCAGTAAGGTACATGCAGGGTGTTGTAAAGCAAATAGTTCCACTAAAAATATATTTCATCTTATCCCACAACAGTTTTTTGCAAGAAATGATGTCATTACGTACAACATTTGTAATCGCTAAAACTCAGTTTGATGGAAATGAGCTGCTGGGCAGTAAAACTCATTTCCATTTCACTGCAATTTGTGCAGAAAGTTGATGGAAACATTTGCTATTGGGAGACTGATCTAATTTTTAAAGATGTGCGAAAACTCCACATCCAACAATAAGTTGAAAGTGATGTGAATAAATGACACAAAAATGCAAAATATTCAGACATCCATTTTTCTACAGCAAAACTATACAGACAAGACATGAGACGTTTTTAGAGAGAATTTCACTGTGTTGTTTGTGCAGCAAAAACAAACAAACCTCCAGATGCGCAAAGATATTGTTTGCTCCTCACAAAACAGGCAAGCTGTAAAGCTGGGGCTGCTACTTTCCATACAATCCCCATTCTAGAGAAACAGTCAGAACTGTTTACAGTGGTAGTAATAGGAACCAGACGTCTGAAGAGTTTAACACCTCTGAAAGCTGCCTCACAGAAAGTTATTTCACGAAATGGTACGCTGCTGGATGCCTGAGATATTGGGTTAGGATCTTTTTAAGGTTCTGGCCTATTTTGAAAGTCACTGGTGGTTTTGGATAGCCAATAAAATGGTTACATTTGCACTGTAGACATGCTGACCCCTGGTTCCCATTACCACCAGTGTAGAGAAATTCTACTATGAACCATTTCACGTCAAACCACTCTGAGTGACTTTGTTCACACCTCAACCACTGACTTATGCAGAAAACTTACAAAAAACTGTAGAACTGCTCTGTAAACCATTCTATAGAATTCCATGCATTGCTATAAAAGCACTGCCCTCTATTGGCCGAGATGAAGTACTGAACAATTCCAGATGCTGTCAGCAGCTCACCTCGCCATAGGGACTGGGAAAGAAAAGAAAAAAAAAACAAAAACAAAACACAGTCAACACCGCTCAGCACCACACCCTCCGAACACACAAACCCGTACACACATGTGCTCCAGAAGCGTCCACTCCTTTCGCTCATTTCCCTGTGACTCAGTCCTTTGTCACCATCGCCTGGCAACCACAAAGCAGCCGTGCGGTCACGCCGTGGCGGGGCGTGGTGACGTCGCTTCCTGTTGTCTGTGAGTCATCAGCGAGCCACTCGCTCACTCCCTCTCGGCTTTAACCACTCCTAAATCCTTCCTTCTCCACCTCTGCTGCGTGCCTGGCTCTCCAAAGCGTTCTCTAGAAGCATGAAGGACAGGGCGGTGCTGACCACCGCAGCAGCAGCAGGGCGGTCATTACGGCTTCGGCTCGCCCCTCAGAGTCCGGAGGCTTGAGCCACTGCCCACAGGCCCTCAGCCCTCTTACAATTACAACCAGCTACTGAACCACAAGTAAGCACAGTAAGTAGCCTTGTGTGGGGAAAAAGGCCTTTACTGTAATTACTATACAAGTCTGCTCAAATAAGGCGGTGCTGATAGGAAAAGGTATAACTGGAGTAGCTCAGGTTCATTGAAAGGAAAGGAGCAGAAAATCTAGTGGTTTACATGTTACATTGACAGTATATGAAACATCGTGCATCACTGATTAAAGGGAAATGCCACACGTTTTTCAAAATTTGAAAAAAAAAAAAATGGTGGAATTCCACTTTAAGAAAGGAACAGAACAGTAAAGAAAAGCATTACTGTTAGGATCTTCAACAGAGCTGAAGTGCCTTTGGGTTCAAACTTCAGATTAATAAGCACATCACACAACTACAAAGTAAGTAGGAGACCGAACTTCAGACGCAAACTCTGCAGCGAGAGGAATGAGTCAGGACTGAGGCCAGGCGTGACAGCTGATTTTGATCATCTAGATATTCTCTTCGCTGATGGATCTTTGAATATCTGGTTATTTTCCCCTCATGACTTCAAGTAAACACTGAGTCTTATTTAACATGCGTAGATTAGATCTAGTCTCAAAATGAATACTAGGTCAGATTTATGCTGCATTCACATGTTGGCGTTAAATCCGATAAGATACTTGTATTCCTGTATATACCACAGCCACACAGTGCACACTTCAGATCTATTAAAATTAATACTAATTCAATACTAAAGACTAATACTAATCTAGTTTAGGAAAGATATTCCAAGTGTGCATTCCTACAGGCAGGAGCAACTCCAAATAGGAAAGACATAGCTCCAAGAGAGTTATGCCTACTCATTTGCTCAGATATTCTAGACTACCATTTACTTTAACACTAAGCTGATACTTTTTGCCTACTTTCTTAAATTACTGCAATGTAAAGTGCTAAAATAACCGAACTTGAATGTGTAATATGATCATAGCAGATACACAGGGGATTCAGAGCTTTCAGAAATGAGGAGCCTCTTTTTTTCATGGGTGTTAATAATGTGGGAACAACATAGTGAAACAATGCCATGAAAATGGGATTAAAACTAATAACATGCTATGTTTCTGTCTCTTCATTTCTTTGGCTGTTTTAGCATTCATTGTTTGTCAATTTTCTGTTTGTTCAAAATTATAGAAACTGAAAGTCACACTAAAGTTTTTAAACTAGTCAAATAAGTCTGAACAATGGACACTTTTCCCACGATCGACCCAAGCAGTTCTCAGGGCAGTAGTGAGCCGTTCCGTGCTGGTCTGGACTTGTGAGGCCGGCTATGGTTTCTTTTTCCATGTGTTGGGCAGATAGTAAGAACCAGTAAATACTCAAGAAAACTACACAAACAAGTGGCTATCAGCTAACAGGCTAATAGCTTCACACACAGCACCCACCACAAAACACGTTTGATGTCTATCAGTCCAACTTCATTCACAGCGTGCTCTCCTCTTCTTTATTCTCTAAATGGGTGTCATTTGAACATCTGCTACTGAAACAGCCTGTACTGCGGTGGCTTTTACCTGTAGCTGGCTAACAACACTAGCATTAGCATTGCCCAGCTGAGTACAGCACAAAGCGCCACAGAACAATTCTATTTTTCATCTTTCTGTCACTTCAACACCAGTCATTTGAATTTGCACTCTCAGATATGAGTCTTTATGCTCTAAACAGGTCTTTTGTAAGCCATACACTTGCGTTAGCTTAGCCTAGCAGGCTACAGCTTAAAACACTACAAAACAAATTCGATTTCGGCTTTCTGTGACTCCACCGTTAATCAGTTGACTTTGCTCACACTGCTATAAGTTTTTTATCGTCTATACTTGTGATGGCAGAGCACCAGTTCAGTTAGTAAAATCAAACCCGTACTGGGGTTTTGGATCCTGTTAAGTTAGCTAGAAGAGAGGAGCCCATCTAATATCAGCTTAGCTAGGAGGCTCCAGCTCCAAACACCACAGAACAAGAGCCGCTCGTCTTAATTTCCTCAGATTTGAGTCATTATCATCTCAACTTGCGTAAGAAAGCTTTTTACTGTGAATGCTAACCAGTTACTTTCTCCTGGTTAGCAGTGGCATTTAACTATTAGAAACTGGCGGTAGATTAAAGCTTTGACGTTTATTGAATGGTAGGTTTAAAATGCACTGCTTTCATTTTTTTGCCGTCCATGTGAACTTATTTGATTGTTTTCGGGTTTTAAATAGCGCAGCAGGATGTGGTGGCACAATGGCAACATAAACGTAGAACCAGTGTAGAATCATCCCACCGAATGGTTCAGTGGCTTCAAGAACGGTTAGGTACCTGTGCTGAAAAAGAAACGTGCTGAGCTTGGTTTTAAGCATTCCGTGTCAAACCATGTCCATGTGGAAAAGCCACTGGAACAGTTCCCCTCCTGATGACCCATCTGACCTCTAGATCTTGTGCTTTGGCCCAGTTTAGCCCCTGGGTACACACCCTGATCTACTTTGACTCCAATTTGGATATTTTTTTTTTTCAGTAACTGCTAAGAATTCTTCAGTAACTGCTAAGAATCTTTCACTAACTACTGTGAAAGTACTGTGTAAGCTATGGAGTAGTATGACCTTTCAGAGGATTAAGTATAAACATAATTATTAATTGCAATTTGCATTATTTATTCATCCTAAAATAAAACTGCTCCACAGTTTCTCATTACATTACATGGGATTTCAATGTTCTGTAAAGCTTGTCCAACATTGTCCAACTCGGCAACAGCTGTTAAGCATTTGTTACACAGTGCATTGATAGTGTGATGTGTGAGAGAGAACACATGAATCATACTAACTGCAGTAATTGATGGCTTTTTGCCATCTCCTGCTGGTGGATGAGTGACATCTGCTCCAAGGAAGATAACGGGCTGCTGGAACACCGCAGACCTGGAAGCACAACACACACAAAAAGTTTTTCCGCTATGTTCACATCACAGGGTTGGAGTGGCGCAAGTCTCATTTTCTGCCTCAGCAGCCAATTTTCCATCCAAAGGATTTTTTTTTCTGAAAAATGTGAGAATAATGCATTTATCTGTAAATTTAGTGGCACTTCCCTCAGATGTCCTTCATGTGCCTCCTACATAAACAAAAAACAAACACAAGCAACATCATGGAGAGATGGAGTTGAACTGAGCTTGACACGAGAGCTGGTTCAGGTTCTCACCGTTGATGGGGCACTAGGATGTTGTTGATGCCGCCAAGTTTGACGTTGATTTTGAGGCAGAGGTTGGAGAGCGTCTGTGGAGACGTCTTCACCACGTTCTTCACCTGAACACACTGAGTGGCCATGCCCAGAAGAGTGTCTCCTACACGCTTCACCTCCGCTGCACCATAAACACAGAACACAGAGGGTTCACACAAACATATTGATGTTATTCATCAGTTATTCATCTGTTTATGTTAAAAGCTAAATGGCAAATGAACCAAGCCCTGCACATTTAAGTGCCATTTCAAGTCAAGCCACCAAACATCAGTTCAATTTTTACATGCATGTTGGGACGTGAGCATTGGAGATGTATTTATATTATTCGATTACACCACTAAGAACAGCCCGCTGCCAAATTGGTAGGCAAACTGCAGCTCTCACATTGCTTCTCTCATCACCATTGCTGCAGCTACAAGCCTGCAGGTGGATGAAGGCCAATGGAATGGACGCTGGCGAATAAGATTCCAAAATTAGCTTCGGTACATACACACACGGCTAAAAGATATCCAGTTTACCTCAGTAAATGCATCCTTAAATCAGGAAATATCTTTCGTAATTTTTAATTTTGAAGTGGCACAGCAGGGCTACAATCAGCCACTGGAGCTGCTGGACCGTTGAATGAGTCTCACTAATGCTGTGTCCCAAACCTTTTACACTAATGAGTGCACAATGTTACTGATACTAATCTTGTTACATACTATTTAGCGTGCTAGTATGCTACTTCGATTCAGCTTTTGCTTGTTATCACTGAAGCAACAACTCAGAAAAAACAATGCAAAACACTCAAGTGTATTAGTTAATATAGTTTAAAAATTTAAAAACAGCTTTAAACTGAGCATAAAAAACACCACACAAAGCACAGGTTTTACTGCCTTTGCTGGATCGGCTATTGCTTTATGATAGGACACCGCTACAGCGCTGCAAAATGAACTTGAAGTAGCCTACCAATACAGTAGCAGAACAAATGTGTGCTGTCATTAGTACAGTACGTATAAGATTTAGAAGACTTCTTGTTGTGTACCGTAGACGGGTGTTTTTCCAGGCAGGATGACGATGATGAGCTGCAAGCCGGAGTAGGTGTTCTTCAGGTGTCTGAACATGGGCTCCACACTGTCTGCTCCCTGCGCGTACTTACAGAAACACGGCTGTCCCTGGATGGGCATCCCAGCATCTTTAGAGATCTTACGCAGCTGGTCAGTGAAGTTCCTGCAAGAGGTGAACATTAAGTTTAGACTGAGACTCAACAAACTTTATGTGAGAAAATAAGCTACTTTTTCATGAATAATGCAATGAATGGGGATGTTTTGTGACTATGAAACACATATTGCAGCAAAGTTTCTGGCATTTCAAAAGGAAAAAAAAAACAAAAAAACACCCAAAACAGTGACACAAGTTTTTCCCACTAACAGAGTAGAGTCTTACTTGAGCACTTCCTCTCGACATTGTTTCTGAGGGGCGAAGCAGGCGATGGCCCACACTTTGATCTCAATGCCGTTGTAGAACTGCTTCCCTCGCATGTCCCACACACCCTGATTGGGTGTGGCTATGGCCCGGTTCTGCAAAGAGGAAGAGCATGTCAATAAATGGACATGTATACTTTTCTTGGCTAAAACTTAAAACCGGTTACTGTTTTATTTATGCATTTGAATAATGAATTAAACATAAAAACTACAATGTAATGAAAGTACATTTTAATTATTGATAAACAGATTTTCAACAGAACAAAATTGAGATGATAGTAAACAAAATAAAAACAAAACTGATTATAGTATGTGGGCTGCAGTATGTGCCACGAAATCCAACGTCCTTGTTAACAGAGAACAGCTGGTCATCCAAGGCATTCCATTAGTATAGGATTTTTTTCTTTCTATTATTGGAAAGTTTTTATTTGCTTTTTGGATGCCGTTTGTACATTTCTACAGCTCTCGGGAAGTTTTCTTTCTAGCTTTCTTTAATTATTTAAAATAGAGAAGGCAAAGCATCCACATGCTGTCAAAGCTAAGCACTTTTAATTCAAATTTTAATGTTTTTCTGCCCTTAATTTCATACAGTAGAGACAGAAAGCAGGCCTAGTCAGTCATGCTGCCATTCTTCTGAACGGAAAGATTTCTTTTTTTCTTAAATTTAAAGAAACCAAAAATTGTACCAATACCGTGGCGCAAAAACCGTCACACATACCAAACTGTGGGCCCACTGTATCATTGCGACTCTAGCCTGCGCTAACTGGTACAAGAGAGCAAAGGAACAAACTTGTTAAGTGTTAGATTTCTACATTTTGTTGTTGTCCTATTTTATCTTTCGTTTTTTTCAGCCTTCCTTCTCTTTCGGCCAAAAACCAAAAGCGCCAATTTTGACCATTTTCAGCCAAAACATTTCATATATCCCTAAGACTTAACAGCTTAACATAGTTAAAGGCAAGCAAGTGTTGCAGATTCACATACTTTCTAAACAGTGAAATTCCATGACTTTTTCCATGACATAAAATTAAATTTCAATGTCAAACATCTAGCATAGTGCTGGGTGATATATCATTTATACTGGCACTCCATGAAATTGACATACTGTATCACTGCTGTCGATACCTGATATCTCCATTTTAGCCGGTTTTCAGTTTTTGACATAATTTGAAAATGCACAACAATGGCTATAAGGCAGTATGTTTATTGAGAGCATCTCAACAGTCAGACAGGTGATGTTTGTTTAGTAGTCACTGTTCAGGCCAAGCGCTGTGACTCATGGGCAAGAAGCTGGTCAAGCAGGTCTCAGTCTGTGAAGCAGCAGCGGTTTGTTTTGCCTCTTTCATTCGACTTGTTAATCCCTCCTCACTTGTGTTTGAATGGCAAAAAATGCTACCCATCGGCTTACCAGGTTTCATGTTAATAAATGTTAGTCAAGCTAGTCCATGCACAGATACATTAGTGTGGGTCTCGGTGTGTTTTCTACAGTCTAGACCAGGGCTCCTCAGCCTTGTCCACCCCAAGGCCCACCTGTGTATAACTACAAAGTACAGTGGCCCACAGGAAAACTAAAATGAGCTTTTTTAAATTCAACTTTATTTTTCTTTTCTTAAATGCTGACGCTGAAAACCTGAACGTTAGGGCCTGAGAAAAGAATTCAGATCAGCCATTCTGGCTGTCAGTAGGTTTGCAAAATTTGCAGGCATGTTAAAAAACATGAAACGTTTTTTTTTTTTTTTAAAAAAACTCATGGTGGTAGTGATGTTACAAAGGGGGAAAAAAGAAAAAAGAAGAATAGAAATGTATAAGGTAAATGTGGACTGTGATTTGGAGCTGCAGTCCATCGCATTTTCACTGAAAATACTCCACTGGCTTTCCCAGTTTGGTCTCAAGATTTATTTTTACTTTTGACAGTTTCTGTGATTCGTCAGCCCATTCACCGGGCTTTAAGATTAACATCATCACAATCAACAATAATGATAAATCGTACTTGATATCGGCTTTGTCACTTTTTGATCAGTTTGTGTTTAACCGCTCAGGTCACTGATGCTCGGCCAAAAGACGCTCCGCTACAATCCGTGAGCTGAAATCAAACGCATCTCTTCGCTTTTATCTTATGGCTCGTCTATCGTTTTTAACAGCAGCTTGTGCTCAGTGTCTAAAGAGTCAGTCATTAAAACAGTTATGTTGACTGTATGGCACCTGTAAGACCTGTAAGCACACACCTCCAAAGTTTAGTCTTAGAAGTTGGTTGATCATTTTCTGAAGCAATCCAATCACATTGAGTGATGCTGAGGTCTGGACTGGTCAGTCTGGGGTGGTCAGTCCATTGTTCCTTTCAGACCCATAGCGCTGAGTTGTCTTCTCACAGTGGAAGGATGGCTGTGAATTTTCTCAGATCTGAAGCAGCTTGATTTTCTCCTCTCTCTTAAAGATGAAAGCTTTAAGTGCTGTTTATCTGATGGGGACAGTGTTGGGGTCTACCGGGTCTTCCAGGTGGTTGTTAAGAGTCCTATTGCCTCTGTAGCTTAAGAATTTTTGATCTCCTGTTTTGGAAACTGCTGCTGTTTCACTTATTTTTCTTTGACATTCTCCTTATGCAAGTGAATTATCTTACATCTATCACTACGAATTACTACCTCCTTCTGACTACAGGCTTGCGGAACACTAAACGGTGCTTCACGGTGCAAAGGTTAAGAACCCCTAATGTAGACTATTCAGTGTTTCTTATGTGATAAGACGACTAATCACATGCGGGAAAAGTTATGGAAATTTTCTTTTTCAACATTTATTATTTTACAGAACTTTTCCAGGACAAATTTCTATAGTCCATGACATTTCCAGGATATTTTAAACCATAAGAACACTTGTGATGATGTGAGCTTGTGTTTGCACAGTGCTAATTAGCATACATAAGCTACTACCATTACTTGTTAACTACAGTAGCCTCATAGGATCCACAAAACAAAAATAAATAAATAAATAAATAATAGTTATAATAGTTATATAATAATAGTTTGGATGCTGGATCGTTATCACAATGTTCATCATAACATTAAACTACAAGCAAAACAGAATGAATAAAAACTTAACACTAAACTAAAACTGTTACTTTTCAGAAAAAAATAAAACAAAACTAAGACTAATAATGTACCCTTAAGGCTAACTGAAACTAAACTGAAATCAAAAAACAAAATGAAGTCAATAAAAATAAAACTAATGAAAACTTCACACCTATAATAAGCCTGGTCTGGTCCTTATAATTCTCCCATGTTTGTATCTTACCCTGCCGCCGTACTGCAGGATGGGTGCTGGGAGGACTCTGCCTGTCACCTCCGCCATGTCGTCCCTCACCTTGATTCCAAACTCTTGAATGTAGGGGTCCAGATTGAAATTAGCGTTCTTCATCTACAGAGAGACGCACATGGACACAAGTTTAAAAGAAACTCTTTCCATTTGTCATATATGGTCAATGCCTTAGGTTTTAAAATATGACATGAAAAATACATTTAATCTGTTACCAAACCAATTATGCTGTTTTACTTTGTATTACTATTTCACATTTTAAAATGAATTTCCACTGAATGGGACTCTACAGGTAAATGCCGTTTTTAAATTTTTAAAAAATGCACTTAGCCATGTTGTGCTTTCATGACTGTCCACTAGGAGGCAGCACTCACCAGTCTGCTGATCTCTTCCTGCCTGTCCGGTGCCGAGCGTGCTGTGGCTTTGATCATGGTGGACGTCTGATTATCAGTCAGTTTCTTTATGCATCTCTGCCCAGCTACTATATTACACACCTACAAAGAGGACAGAAGGGAAACAAAAACACGCTAGAAGTCAGAAAGATCTGAGTCTTGTGGCTTAAGCGAACTCGTTCTGCCAGCATTTTAGGTGAATTAATAATTCTAACGATGATGTCTCACCTCTAGAGGCAGGTAGGTGTGTTTCTGCTCCTGGCCCACCTGCAGGCAGGGCAGGTGAGGGTATTTAAGCTGCAGGTTGTACTTCTGTTTAAAATATTGCGCCACTGTACATTCCACTGTTTGACCACTCTCGAGCTGCAGCGGAAACCTGGAGACAAATCCAGAAGGTAACAATCATCATCTCAGCACTAAACATGCACAGCTCTAAACTACGTTTAGCACATTCTCCATTCTTTACTGCTTTACTAACAAGTTAAGCATGCATAAGCATGGTTTGCAGGAAAGCTTCACAAATGCTGGTCACCCTTACTACCCAAAATTATACAGTTCAATCGTCTGGAACCAACTGATGATTGGTTTCTGAAATGTCCAGAATTTTTCCTTAGATTATAATAGGTTTTTTGTTTTGTTATACATGCTTATGTAGTAACAAACAGCACAAACTAAACTGCTAATATATAGCTAAGTGTTAACACATACAGTACTGTAATAGTACTTTATTTAATTTCCACCGCCATTAAGTACAGGTTATTCATTTTCAGTGTCGGGTAAGAAGCAGACAACACACTGAACAGAAAATGACACAGAGGCATTAACAATTAAACATAATATCAGATTGTTCAGTGTTCAGTGTGTCACTTTTCCTATCATTACAGCTTCCATTTTCACTAATTTTCAGTTTCTCTAAGGAATCTGCACACACACCTCCAAAGTTTAGTCTTAGAAGTTGGTTGATCATTTTCTGAAGCAATCCAATCACACTGAGTGATGCTGAATGTCTGGACTGGTCAGTCTGGAGTGGTCAGTCCATTGTTCCTTTCAGACCCATAGCGCTGAGTTGTCTTCTCACAGTGGAAGGATGGCTGTGAATTTTTTCAGATCTGAAGCAGCTTGATTTTCTCCTCTCTCTTAAAGATGAAAGCTTTAAGTGCTGTTTATCTGATGGGGACAGTGTTGGGGTCTACCGGGTCTTCCAGGTGGTTGTTAGGAGTCCTATTGCCTCTGTAGCTTAAGAATTTTTGATCTCCTGTTTTGGAAACTGCTGCTTACATCTACCCTCTTCAAATATTTCTCCTGAAAAAGACTAACTTGTACTTAGAGGCCGTTTTAAGTACAAATAAAACAAATGAATGGGTCATACTGAAAAGCTCAGTGACTTTAAACAAGACAACGGTCACAGGAAGCCACCTTTGCCATGAGTCAGTTCATGAAATTTCTGGCCTGCTAGATCTGCCCCAGTCAACTGTAAGTGCTATTATTGTGAATGTGTTTAGGAGCAACAACAGCTCAGCCACGAAACAGCAGACCACACAAACTCGCAGAGCAATGGAAACGTCTTCTCTGGAGTTTCACTGTCTGGCAGCCCGATGAATCTGGGTTTGTCGGATGCCAGGAAAACATCAGCTACTGGAATGTATAGTACCAACAGTAACGTTTGGTAGAGTAGGGATAATGGGCTGGGGCTGTTTTCCAGGCCTCATAGTTCCAGTGAAGGGTGATGTTAATGCTACAGCATACAAAGACATTTTAGACAATCATATGCTTCCAACTTTGTGTCAGCAGTTAGGTGAAGACCCTTTCCTGTTCCAGCATGACTGAGCCCCTGTGCACAACGCAAGCTCCAGCAAGAGATGGTTTGACGGGTTTGGTGTGGAGGAACTCCAGCGGTTTGCACAGAGCCCTGACCTCAACCCCAACGAGCACCTTTGGGATGAACTGGAACATCTAATGCGAGCCAGGCCTTCATCAGTGTCTGACATCACAAATTCTCTTTTGACTGAATGGGCACAAATTCCCAAAGAAGCACTCTTGTGGAAAGCTTCCCAGAGGAGTGGAGGCTGATTTAGCTGCAAAATGGGGCCTATGGTTTTGGAATAGGATGTCCAACAAGCTCATATGGTTTGATATTCAGATGTCCACATACTTTTTGAACGTAGTTTATTTCCTTAACAAAACTTCTTAAAAAACTTGACAGTAAGACACACAGTGAGTTTTACAGATAAAAGACTCACGTCTGGTGACTAGCAGGACGACGTGTTACGTTACACACTCGATACTTTCTCTTCATCTGACCACAGTGCGTCACCTCCACCTTCAGCCCTAAAACATGAAAAACACAGATAAGTATCAAATATTTACCATAAATACAAAACTTCATGCACATATCTGAGTCTTTAACAGTGTGATTCATGATGACACATGACAATGACTCAGTGGATGACTGTCCAGAGTAATTCAACTGGATTCAGTAACTGCTTGCCTTAGTTCAAAAGTTTGATCTTAATCTATTAGTCTTTTATTGAGACAAGTTTGATTCATTGTGTTCAAAATCAACCAGCTTTCAAGAATGACTCAATGGAAAATTGTGATTAGAGTATCAGCGCAGTTGAACTGGCAGTAAAACTGATGTATGCCTTGGTTAAAGTTTATATGAATCAGAAATCATAACATATCCTAATTACAGAAAAACAAGAACGTTGTCTTTTTTATATATAATATGATGAATTATGCTCAATATGACCAGAAACATCAACTAACAAGGCTAAAAAAAAAAATTTAGTTTTAACATAATGAAATGTTTGATTATCCTGATAATTTATGACGCATTACATTTCACATACTTTTCTGAGTGTACTGTGGATTTTGTCGATATTGCATGTTTCATTGCAAAGACAGCATAAATCAGCAGAGGTGCGATCAATTCACTACGTTGCAAGTAACAAGCACTCAAGCCAGTCAAGTCTCGATTCAGGTCCCAAGTCAGTACAGGCCAGTTGAAGTCAAATCCAGAGCCCTAAACTTTTAACTTTTAACGTTGAACCAAAATTACTGTATTCATAGTTTTTGATAGTTTGTTCCAACTTTTTAAACTTCAGAAAAGGATGTGGAAGCTTTATGTTTGTATGTTTATTTACTTATGTTGTTTACTTAACATATTCTTTTTTATGTCTGAACATAATACTTGTTAGATGATAACTAATAGTATTTCTTTAACAATATATTATTAATAAATACATTATCTACTGTTATTGTTTTTGCCACAACTACTGTTACTACTACTAAAGTTTGTATAATATCCCTTCAATATAATATTATAATTATATTTATTATTAGTGTAATATTATAATAACAACAACAACAGTATACTAATATAGAAATATCCTTTTAGTATCCCTACCAATGCTGTGGATAAATCCTGGGCCTTTGTGTATATTTTCTTTCTTATGGTCAATATACTTTCTTCTAAACAAAAAGTATTAACTCCCCTCCAAAAAACTAAATATTGTGAGTAGAAGTGAGCGATATCACGATCCATGATGTCACAATATATTTTTTCTGACATTTGATAAGAAAAAAAAATAGTGCAGCATTTACAGACTACTGTGAAACTATGACTTTAATGATTTATATTCAACTGTGCTGCACTAAATCCAATTAACCAGGACTGATTATGCTCTCTTTATACTCAAATATCCAGCTGGGAAGTGTTTTCAGTACTGGCAATTCCAACAATATGCTCAGAAAAGCATATTGTGACATAAAATGACCCAATTTACCAAAATAATAATAAATATACTCATACTGCCCAGCCCTGCCATCCACCCCTAATATCAAGTTGACTTTCAATGAACTGCTGGTTCAGGACTGTGTCTGAGCAGTAGCCCACCTTTGATCTCCTTGGTGAAGCGGACCCTTTGGGAATCTGTTAAAGTCTTGGGCTGCTCGTCGATGTTGCGGATGTCCAGAACCTCGCACATGAACTCAATGACAGGCTGGGCTTTGTAGAAGGCCGTGGCTGATACTGGAAAACGAGATAATTGCAGAGAGATTTAATTATACAAGGGTTTAGGTGTTTTTAAAAATAAATAAAATAATATGACAAATGACACCACTCCAACATCAAATACCCCTTGAAGGAGGCCATTTTGTAAAATATTATTATAAAAAAGTGATGCTTTATAAATTCACAACCATTTCAGCACAAAAAAAAAACCACCAAGATGAAACTAAAGAGGCCTTTTCCTTTATCTTAAAGTGATTGTCCAAAAATCTAATTTACACCATTTTCCACTCACTACAAATGTAATGGATTTTTGCACTGGAGCTACAAGGCTAATGTAGCTAAAAAGCAAATTGTGTAGTTAAAAACAGCAGCAGGAGCCATGTTTATAGACAACAGTGTGTTACACAGTGTCAGAAACCACATGATCAAGTCTATTAGAGAAACTGAACGACTCCACACACTTTGATGCGAGTAGACATGCAGTTTGCATGATGGTAATTGGTAGACATAAACTTCCATTAGTTGCTAGCTGCATCAGTCTCTTGGATGACTCATTACATGTGGGATAGCTAATTTGATTATTCAATGAACCATCACTTCTTTTAGCTAATTAATCAGCTAACTGACCCATAAGGTACAGCGAATATCACAGAATTTTAACTTCAGTGCCTCACCATCAATGTTCAGCATCATCTTCCACATGGCGGGCCGTACGGATTGATGAAAGCCAAACCAGACCTCCCTCCCTCCTCCCAGAGGATGGTAATAGCCTTCAGGGGGAGAGAAGAAGGACCGACCCACTGGAGTGTACCTGTAGGGTGGGATAGATATCCGTTTGGCCATTGTTTAGTCAAGCTACACCTTCTTTTGTTACAGTCTTGTCATAACAGGCTCATTTCACTTAAAAAGTGCAAGAGACTTTCTTAGAAATCACTGTAACTTAGTGCAGCAATTAAGAAGCAATTCTATAATCAGAACATCTATCAACTATTATTCACTTAATACACTAACTTTAATGTCTTCTGTGGTTTCCTCTCCCTTCACTTTTTAAATGAAATAATAGAAGCCATGTCACCCCCTACACTTCCTGTAGTGTATTACAGTCTGTCAGAATGACTGTGTGGGTCATACGAACACTATGGAGCACTTTTGATTTTAGGGGTTTTTCCCCCAAGTAACCATTTTAGCCCTACTGTAGTTGGCAAGCAATCTCAAAGAACTAAAACAAAACTCTCTTAAACACAACTGTACCATGCTCTTTGCCATTAAGGACCACCTTTCAGCAATTACTAGCAAGTTTTTTTTAAAACATTTCAAGCCATTTCATACCGTATGCATAATAATAATAATCCCTATCCTGTGTACCTCATGGAGGCCAGATGTCTCATGGCCACATCCAGAGCCTGAACAGAGTCCATCGGGACCTGAAGCCGACCACTGACCAGCGTCTCCTGAAGCAGCCGCCACGACACCTTCGCCAGCCAGCGAATGGACACCTTAAAGATTCGATCCTTCCCTTCACCTGGGATGGTCACCTCAAAGTCCACCTGCAACATTAAAGGCCAGAGACTGATTAAGGGTCAGGACAAACCTGTTACAAATCAGGTAAAAACACCTGGTTGCTCCCATGTTATGTTATGACTGTATAATGGGGGGCATTTTGCTATATAAATACTCCCAATTTAAATTGTCACTGATTACCTTTGGAAAAAAAAATTAAAGATTAACATATTTGAGAGTGCAATATTTCAATATATAGCTCTGCTATGATGCATTTATTTGTCTTAGTGTGAAACAGACAATCTTGGCAGTTCCATGCAGCCACAGTCAAACACTGAGACAAGATAAAGATGAGAAGATTATACAGGATTTGTTATTTACTAGTTCCTAATTTTATTCCAAGAGATATTGTTCACATTTATGACGAAGGAGTAAAATTCATGCATCATATGCGAATCTACACTGCAGTCTTCTTCGAATCAAAAAGCCGGATATCTGTATATTCAAATATTAATGCTAATGCCGCAGCCTTAACTGACCTTTTCGCTCCCTATAGGAAGAGCCAGGACTGTGTAGATGTTCTTCTTGCCGTCGTACACTGGTTTCCGGTCACCAAAAAGCTGCGGTTTGAAATGCTGCACCATGTACTCCACAACCTCCCTGCAGAACAGGAAACACGGAACAGATACTCTTTTATCACATTAAATGTTTTATGCATTTTTGAAGTGAAAAGCAGTAATAACTTTTTGCAGATGTTCATGCATGGTTAACTTTATATTTGATTCACTTACGAAAAGACAAAAAATGAAATGGTAATTGTGTCATGTGCGAAACCTTTGGACAAACTAACAAGGCAGAACTTACATCCTCTTTGGCAGAGATCACCACTTGTAAACACTTTGTGTAGACAGTTAGGGGTCTTTCTATTGTTTTAGTGTTTTAGTGACTCTTCCTTGCAAGTTCTGTGATATCCTTAGGCTGTCTTGCAAGCGCAGCATGCCTAAGGTCTACCCACATGTGTTCAAAGACATTAAAGTCTGGGTACTATCAGGGCCATTTCAAAAGGTTGAGCTTTACGCTTCTTGCGGTAAGTGGATATTGGATCATTGTCCTGTTGTTGCAGCCAGCCTCTTTTCAGTCCCAGTTTCTTGAGTGACTGCATCACATTTGCTTTCAGAATTTGCTGATATTTAGTAGAATCCATTTTTCCATCAACTCATGCAATATTTTCTGTGCCACTGGCTGCCATACAACCCCAAAGCATAACAGATCCATGCCCATGCTTAACAGCTGGCAAGATGTTCTTTTCATCAAATGCTGCTCCTTTTTTTCACCAAATATTGTGGTCAAAAAGTTGACTTCATCAGTCCACAACACTTGTTTCCAGATGTTATTTTGAATACCTCAGATATTGACTTTCGTGATGAGGTCTCAGGTAAGGCCCCCTTCGGATAACTTCTATGCACATCATGTTTGTGAACGCAATTCTGCACAGTAAACAGTGCACCACCACTCCTGTGTCAGCTAAACCTTCCTGCAGGTCCTTTGCTATCATATGAGGGGGTGCTCTGTCTCTCTGACAGAAAACGAGCAGTTCTATCTGAGAATTTTCTTGGGCTTCCAGATCTTGCCTTGACTTTCACAGTTCCCCTTAACTGCCATTTCTTAAGGACATTTTGGACAGCTAAAATTGCGAACTGAAAGAGCTCTAATATCTTTTGATAGTCTTCTTCTACTTTGTAAGCATTAATTTGCTTCTTTTTCACATTCCTCAGCCAGTGACTTAGAGGATCTCATGGTTGTTGAGTGTTAACACAAGGTGTGATGAGCCAAACAATTAAGAACACTCTGGAACTGTCATCAGCTTACATTTCCTAGAGAAAATTCCTGACCTGGCTAACCAATTCTTATGATGTTAATAAGCCTTAATGAGTAAATTAAGCTTATAGACATTACAGCTGGAATGGTATTCAAATTTTCACGTCACAATTACTGTTCTGTTTTTTTTTTCCTATGTTTTAAATACATCAAATATAAAGTATGTTATTTTTTAAACAGTTTGCAGTAGAGGTTATGTTCACTGCTTTTTACTTCAAAAATCAGCAACAAAATGTGTAATTTGGCCAAGGGTGCCCAAACTTTTGCATACAGGTGTATAAAAGAGTGTCCCTGTTCTTGGATTAATCAGACATGACCGAGCTCTCCTGGGTTGAAGGGATCATTACCTGTTGACCCGACGAGGGCACTTGTCAGGTTTGATGTCAACCTCGTAGTGATAGACGTCCATCTTCGGGATCTCCACCTCGAAGTAGTTCGCCAGCAGCTTGATGGGCTTCCCCACGGTGCCCATGCCCGGCCTGCGGGGGGCCTGGAACACCTGCTGCAGGGGAGGGGGGTACAGCCCCACGGGCACTGAGAGAGAAAGACACAGAGGTTTATACAAAAGATGGCTTTTTTAGTTATGAGGCATTCTTTTATTACAGACTATTTTTAAGTAACAGTATGTGTTACATTATGAGAAACCACATAGGCAAGTCTAGTTAAGGTTAAAAATGCTTATAAGCTTGCATTACTTGTCAGCTACATTAACCTTGTAGCTCCAGTGAAAAACTAAAGAAGCAAACAGGGCCTAAAACTACATTCAAGGGGACAGTTTGATTTAGTAGTTTAAGACTGTTTAATGAACTCTTTTTTAAATTGCTTTAACAACAATTAAATCATGTATAGAGCTCAGGGCCAGACAGCAGAGTCATAGAGTGACTGAGAGAAGACTAAGGATGAGATCACACAGTGATACAAGCATTTGCACAGAGAAGGGAGAGCGAGAGAGAGAGAGTTTATCAGAAAGGATGAGATCACAGTGATTCTCTGAGTGAGAGAGGGTGAAATTTAAGGATTTTACAGTAAGGATGACATCACACGGTTTCATGGGTCATTTAGGGTCCAAGTAAATGACTCACTGGCTGTTTTAACATGCAATAGTTTTGCCGATCTGATTGAATACATTTTGATTATAGATTAAGACTGAGGTGTTTGTGCTCACTCTACTCAGCAATCTGATGAAAATCTCTACAAGTAATCAGATGCAAAATTATGTGCATGCGTAGAGCACCGCTTAGTGTAGACATTAATCTGACAATGAGCATCACGAGTCCAGTCAGCGTGAGAAACAAGCAGCAGTGCGTTAGCTACCCAAGTGTGTGTGCTACCTGTGTTTTTAATCACTTTAAAATGATGTCAGACTCATGAAAACGTACTTCACGTCCTTATTAAAGAAGGGTGAGAGGAAGACAGCGTGTTCAGAGACACAAAAGCTGGACGCCCGTCCCACCGCCGTCTTTTAAAGTTGAAAGCATAAACTTTGTCTCCTCTACAGACCAGTTTCTGCTCCCACCATGCTGAATGTTCTAAACTTTCGCTATGATCCAAACACACATGTGCAGAACATAAACTTTCTGATTGGGATTGTAATCGGATTCAGGTGTTTACACGTTATTTTGTCTTATATTTAACAGATTATCTACAGGCTTACCCACCTCGTTCAATCAGATAGAAATTGTATTTCAAATGGCCTCAATCGGACTAGTCCATTCTCAATCCTCTAGACAAACAGAGCACTTCGTAAAACATTCAAAATAATATTTTAACCAAATCTTTTTTTTACATGACCATTTTCCAACCTCCCTTTAGCCATTTAGGCCCATTCACAACAAGTACAATTGTTTGGAAGGAAAAAAAAAAAACAGTCAATTTGATAAGTTCACCCCATTCAAAAGAAAAGAAGACAATACGGGGGGCTCTACCACATCATACAGGAGATGAAGCTAAGCGATTCTGAAAGTATTTCCTTCTATCAGTGGGGGGATTCAAGGCTCTGCTTCTGCTTGTGAACTACAACTATTATTTGTAACTCTATTAAATATACAGTTGCTGTAATGTACTGTAACATTCTATTCTTGTTTTAGCCACTCTTCCCTGCAGAATCCGTCAAGTATAGTGATATTCTTGGACTGGTGGTTTTTGTGGTATGTTCTAAATCATGGTCCTGTTGTTGAAGCCAGCCTCATTTCACCTCATCAAATTCAGTTTCTTGACTGCCTGTATCTTGTTCCAGAACTTGTTGATATTAGAGATGGACCGGTTAGTGTTTTTGCAGCCAATACTGATCACAGATCACTTTTCAGCACGATCAGCCGACAGCCGATACTGATCAAGGGCGAGCTGGACCGTTAACGCTTATTCACCCCAAGTATGATTTTTTGGGATGAAAAAATGGATGAGATTTCCGAAGCGTTTTTCTGTCTGAACACTGTTTTTAACTTTTCTTCTAAAGAGTAACTACACCCTAAGACCTTCTTTTTTCATTAACAGCTGAAATGCACTGCTCTGTAATAATAAAATGTGCCAGTCTTGCTTAAAATGTAAACAACTTTCCAAACTGTAAAAACATCATTTTCATCATGGTCAGTTCTGCCTCTGCAGTGCCCCTCTGGTTCAACTCTGCCATAGGCACGGATGTATGCAAATCAGTCAAACAACGTTACCGCCCCTGATGATGCCCTACTCGTGCTGCACTCATAAATATGAAAGCATGGAAGCGAGGTAGAGAGAGGAGATAACCACACTCACGTGCTGAGCTAAATACCCCCAGCACCACCTCACAAGGCTGTGAAATGACAGCTGTCTGTACCAACTGTAAATAACTCTAATCTGAGCTTAGTTTGTAACAAAGATGTTGGACCGATTAAGTGAGGATTCTTGCGAGTCTCCATAAAGCTGCTGGTGTTGCATCCGATTCATGTTTTCCTTCGCGACTCAAACCCTTGGGCGCCGCACTCACTGAACAGACATTAACGACAAGCAACACTGGAACTACAGAAAGCGAAACGGTTCAGAAAAGGTTATCGTTAAACGGCCATTGTTACTGACTGCGTCAACCTTTTGTCCATACAGCCTTTCTCGAATTTTTTACTGCTTTCCGTAGGTCCGGTGTTGCCTGCCATTGATTTTTGTTCAGTGAGTGCAGCGCCTGAGGATCGATTTATGAAGGGGAATGTGAATTTGAATGGGATCACACACGCATAAGCATGGCCGCGATTTCTGTAATATTCATAATTTAAAAAGAAAACAGATCATTTTTATCTGTCCGGTGACAAATGCTAGCCTATCTGGTTACAGGTGCTAAACTGAACAACTTCATCTTAGTACGAACAGTAAACATTAGCTGGCTTGGTATGTCAGTGATGGATCACGCTGCCTACCACTCCTACAACATCCATGTCAGAGCGTTTCACAGTATTCAAACATAAGCTAGCAGACATCTGGATTTATCTATTCTGTCATACTAGCTCGAGGGCTGGAAGAACCCCAAAAGACTTGATATTGTAACAATAGAAGAGCCATCTTCTATATAAAACCATCTACAACACATTTTCATGATGCAAAGAACCCTTTATTGTATTAAGCGTTCCTTGGAAAATGTTTTCTTTACTGAAGAACCCTTGACGACCCATTTGTGTGTAGTATAGTGAATCAGCATGTTTAAATGATAAATATGGAGCGTGAAGTGTTACAATGTTAATCTATGTATTATTTTTAAATCCCTTATTTTTAGCTATAGAAATTAGACAAAGCTAACTCAAATAATAATGAAATATAAGAATGTTCTTTTTTTGAACCCATAAATGAAGTATGCAAATATTATTCTATTCACTTTCTCATTTGTACATTTTCTATTTTGTGGAAAAACAATCAGTGCAGTGCTGCTGTTAGAGATTTCTGCAAGTGATGCGTTTATCATCACATGGTTTATTAGTTTATTGACTTACATATGAAGTTCATTTACTGCATTTACAGCTATGCTCCCCCTTTATTTCTGCTTTAAGAGGCAAAACTACTGTTGAACATGGGGGCATTTCTGCCCTTTGCCCCTGGCTATTTCTGACACTGCCCAGAGGAAAAAAGAGGGATTGAGGGACAGAGGTGATGTAGAATGAGTGGAGAGCTCAGAGCAGACGGGATTAAACGTGGCGGATACACGGCAAACAGAAGAGTGTGGATGCAGGGACAAAAGAAGGGACGACGAACAAAGAGAGAAAAGACAGAGTGGTGGGAAAGAAATGGAAATGCAAGAAAAGAGTGAGGAGAAAAAGGAGCGAGAGAACACTTTAGCCTAATGCTGAAAACTGAAACATGTCCAGCTTACAGTAAAATAAGGACAATCAAATGAAAAGCAGACAAATCAGTGAAGTTGGGGGACATTAAAAACTCCAGAGGTCAGCAGTGATCCAAAAAATAAATAAATAAACAAATAAAAATGTTAAATTAAAAATCATTGTGTTCACTAGTTCAAAACAAGGACACACTAAGGAACTGCTTAAAAGTATAATAAAGAAAGTCAAATAAGAGTTATTCTTCAATATCACAGCAACAATTTACAAAACTAGCCTAATAAGATGCTGGTGCTGTGTAACTTCCAGAAGTTCTAATAAAATTAATATCCAGACTAAAATTCTACTAATATTACTATCCAGAATAAAGTTCTAATAAAATTAATATCCTGAAAGAAGTTCTACTAAAGTTAATATCCAGAATAAAGTTCTAAAGAAATTAATATCCAAAATTACATTCTAATAAAATTAATACTGCGAATGAATTTCTAATAAAATTACTTTCCAGAATGAAGTTCTACTAAAATAAATATCCAGAAGAAAGTTCCATTAATATTAATATCCAGAATGAAGTTCCAATAATATTAATATCCGTAATGATGTTCTAATACACTTACTTTCCACAATGAAGTTCTAATAAAATTACGATCCAGAATGAAGTTCTAATAAAATAAATATCCAGGATAAAGTTTCAATAATATTAATGTCCAGAATGAAGTTCTAATAAAATTACTGTCCAGAATGAAGTTCTAATAAATTACTGCCCAGAATGAAGTTCTAATAAAACTACTATCCAGAATGAAGTTCTAATAAAACTACTATCCAGAATGAAGTTCTAATAAAACTACGATCCAGAATGAAGTTCTAATAAAACTACGATCCAGAATGAAGTTCTAATAAAACTACGATCCAGAATGAAGTTCTAATAAAACTACGATCCAGAATGAAGTCCTAATAAAACTACGATCCAGAATGAAGTCCTAATAAAACTACGAACCAGAATGAAGTCCTAATAAATTAATATCCAGAATCAAATTCTAATAAAAGTACTATTCAGAATCAAGTTTTTATAAAATTAATATTCAGAAGAAGTTCTAACAAAATTAATATCCAGAACCAAGTTCTTATAAAATTGTACAAATGTGTGAAATCTGGGCTGATACTGCCAGCTGACATATTTCATGTACTTATGCCTGTCTATTATACAAACATCTAACATTTTTTAAATATGTATAAATTTGG